AGAGACTCATGTTATCAGCAGAAAACACTTCATGTTATTAGTAGAAAACAATTAGTGATCTACCCACTACATTTACATTATCACCACAGGTGACAGAACGAAACGGCTCACTGGGCTAGTACAGCATGACTGATATTTGATTTTAGGATGATACAACAAAAACATTTGCATGCCATTTCCCCATCTCAACTCCACACGTCACATAATGTTCACTTTGTAGTCAGTGAAAAGAGGCTGTGGATGCTTAGTAAGGCAAGGCATACAACGTTGATGCAGCCCAGTGGCAAAGCCAGGGGTTGGCACACTGGGCTCACAACCTCCTCCCTTTTTTGAATATTCTCCCTTCGTAGTATACAGAGTGAAAAACACGCTCGATCACATCCACGAACCGTGCCCCACTTAGGATCATAGTGGTGCCCCTCCTTCAATTCCACGCCCACAAAAAAAAAGCTGCCTACAACCCTGTGGCAGCCCACACCCATTCTGGTGCTCACTTCAGTGTTGTCAATCGTTGCCATGGACCATGTGTACGCATAATGTGAAGGCACACATTACACGCACATTTAGAATAGGAGGACATGTGTACAAAAAAATAAAGTGCTGAAGATCAAGCACTTTCACACGAGTCGGAATTCACGATAATGTGGCAAATTTTTGCAAAATAGTCTGTACTGGTTAACTTGGCAGGCAAAAAAGAAAACATCACAAATTGTATCACAAGTTGTCCCGAAGACAGCCAGTTAAAGCCAAGGCCATGCCTTTTGCCAATAGAATGATCTTGCACAGCGTATTACACTATGTTGTGGCTGTTCTTGTTTATGTAGCCAGAGTTAAAGGTAACAGAAGTGTTCTTGTCTCTTTTCAAACCTTACACATTTCAACACATTTACATCTTCGGCAAGGTTTCTTTGCAATAACCTTAAAAATCATGAATTGCAGAAGTGACAAATGATTTGAACTTACTGATACAATGATGCCCCAAAATGACTGATAGCTGCAGATATGTCTCAGAAAGAGACGTGCACAGCTCAACTGATCATAGAGGAATGCCTTAGATGCTGTCCTTGTTTTACTGCATTTGGCACTCTGCGCCAGCTAGCAGAATATGGAATGAAGTTATTCAGGCTCCCAAGAAGAGACTGAGATATTGAGTGATGAGAAAGAAGGTTCACCTTAGAGTGAGCACAAATATGCGTCAGTGAACGAGATTCATGGTTTCGTTGGCGTCAAAAAATGCATTTCATTCAAACATGCCTTTCACTGGACTACTGTGAACATAGGCAAACAGAAGATTTCCTGCTAGCAATTATTCAAACGGGGGAAAACGAAGCTTAAGCACCAAAACATTGTCACACATGATCCACAGAACATTCAAGTGGGTGGAGAAACCTAATATTCTGAAATAAAACCAGGTTATGACATCATGTTAAACCTTGTAACATTGAGGCTGTGTCGGGGTATGTAATGAACATATTGCCAATGGCAAAAGATGATGAGGTGAGCAACAAGAATGTAGAAGTGAAGGGTTTGTAGCAAATAAATTGTGAAACCTTTAGATGAGTTAAAATAAAAGCGATGTTTGTAGTGCCATTTTTTACGTACACCAACAAAAATGCAGACATGTTTTTTCAACAGCAACAAGGTGTCTTGAATAAAATATAAACACACATTACGCTTCATATTTAGACTCTTTAAAAAGCAGGCTATAGCGCTTCTCATAAGATGCATGACTACATGTTATGCACATACATTTATTTCCAGCTTTAATAAATATATCGCACATGCTAAACATTTTCTTCTAGGCTGAAACTTCAATTACTTCAATACTTGTCGAGCTCATTGTGACATGTTATAGAGCAAACGCCAACTTGTATAGCGCAAAGTAAAGAGCGCGTCAGCAAGCCGCGCACAATGATATACACCAGCGCCCAATCATAAAAATTACCGACCGGTCAATTCCTTCATCTATTTGTAGATAGCATCGCAGTATTGCAGCGTGCAATGCCGCTGCCACTGTAGGCCTTTCCTTCATTGGAATACAAAACGTTTGTGAGTGTTCGCGCCCTCATTCCTGCTAGCTGTGAAAGATCATCATCGAGCCAAATGCAACTCGAGCGATAGGACTTTTGTGCGGTAACCAACAAAAAGGGAGCGCGTAATTTGCCACAAACACAGATGACTACGGAGACCCAACACTTGCGGCCGAAAAACGCGCTGTGAAAATACAACAGCCTCAATTTCATAAATGCGGCAGCTTGATTCAATGCAAGCATGAACTTGTCAGCGTCGTCTGCTATTGGTGATGGTTGCCGACCTTGAAGAGTGAAGCTCCGCCAAATGGTTACCAGCCTCAACAGCGTCGCATCATCCAACCAAAGTGCGCGTCAGAGCGGTCATGCGGCTAGCGCTTGTGTTGCATTTTGGCGCCAGGCCGCCGTTTCGCTCTCCGTTTGCAGGCGGCAGGCGTCCCGCCACGTGCGGAACGGGTGTACGGCTAGCGCGTGTATGGGCCCTTAACCCACCACGGAGCCTATCCCCCGCTGACGCACCACGAAGTGAGACTACCAGTAAATCCCAAAGGCACAGACTATCGGGGGTCCAAAGGCCCCAGACAGCCCTGCTGAATAGGCCAGGCGTTCAGGTGTAAAAAAGGATCCAGCCATTGAACGAGGACGTGACCTCAGGACAGGGGAAGAACAGGTAGAGTGCGGTGCAACTGACCAGTTAGCTCCCGAAGGAGCACGTCTTGGACACAGCGCAAGTACAAGAAGGAAGGGAAACAGAGAAGAGCGTGGAAAAGGAAAAGAATAGTGAAAAAAGTGGTCCCCCCTCAAGAGAAGGGGGCATCAAAGCACCGATCCAGGGCCAAGCACATGTAATCACGAGGGTTACACTTCGACCTTAGCCAAAAGGCCGAGAATTGATCTGAGCCAAAAGGCTGAGAAGCGACTTTGATCTTAGCCGACAGGCCGAGAAGCGCTCTGTCCGCTTGATGTTTCTTGTTTCGCTAACAAACATGATAAACTGAAACCGTCTTTTCCCAGACGTCGAAGCCTTGCTTCCTTTCTTGCATGCGGACTCTCGACTACGCCCACGACGCCACAAAAATGCTTGCCGGCGCACATTATCAGGCACGTCACAAGAGATGCTACAGAACTTCTTTTTAAAACTTATGCAAGGTCCATAACTCAAACTCGTGCACCAAAGGCTGGAGAGAAAAAAAAATGACTGTACTAAATGTGATTACGTCACCCACCTAACATGATTCCTACGCTGGCTGCCCAAGCAACGCCTCTGCAACGACGACCACAATTATCAGCAAAAAGGTGCTGCCGTTGGCTTCTTCAGCGCACGCAACATATGCCTTGCTATATCCGACGTGGCGGAACACCGCAGCGGAGTCGACGATAGTCCTGCCGTGAAATCCAGACCCACCAATCCGTGCGAAATGTCTACAGCGTGTGTAGAATGTCTACAGCTGGTCAAAGGAGGGTCATGTGGCGCAGCGTAACAATGTGAGTGTGCGAAACGCCACTGCGAAGTCGTGCAAGCGTTCCGACTGCAGGCTCTGCTTTGCTCTAAAATGTCCAGGTTTGCGGATTCCGAGTGGTAGGAGTGGTATGGTGGTGTATGCGAGGCGCCAGAGTGGCACTCCTCGATCGAGCCCGGCAAGAGGCGGTAGAAGGCGGTCGTCAAGTGGACGCCGAAATCAGGGGCGAAGTACTCGCCTGCACTATTCGTCGAATGCCGTTGAGTAAGGTGCGAGTAGACTCCTGACAGACCGTCTTTCGGAGACGGGCGTTGCACAAATGCAACCGTACGGCAACGTGTCGCCATATTCAGGGATTATATTGCCGCACTACGATACCGCTGATCCACTGATTCGTCACTGCGCTCGATAGTATTGCTTGTTTTTGTTGACCTTCACTTGTGGGTCTAAACCACTGTGGACGATTGGAGGCTTTGTTGTTCTGCTTTTTCGCCTTCTACATAATCGGCTTTGTGAAGCTGTGAGGAGTAACCAGAGGGTACAGATGCAAAGCACAACAAAGCGCGCCCGGGTCGTTATCTTACACGCCCTGGGTTGCACTGCGCTTCAGGTGCATGCGTCATGGGTCCGTATGTATAGTGCAAATTCGCCTTGCTACTTCAAGCAACTGGCCGTTTCGTAAAGGTGAGCATGCGAGGATGTTCGTTGTACTTAACGAGAACCAACGACGGATGAGTTGGTATGCTCGAAATGATGTCCAGACGTGTAGTGTGTGATCAACAAGGCGATGGCGAAGGCGCCAGCGAGGTAACTAACCACAAGGCAACAAATTACAGCTACCGCTGGCGGAAGCTGGGACACAGGACGTTGGACACAAGAACAACACTCGGATGTGCGCACGTCGGCGCTTTAACGCCACATTGCGCTGCAGGTGCGTGCGGGGTGCGTCCTCTACCGTTCCTCGCGATATTATTTTATGATGGGGAACACTGTACATGCGAAGACGTCGTGTGAGCGCACGCCTTCAGGGTAAGACGTCTCGTGAAAACGTGAAATAAAATTGCCTTCGCTTGTCACTGCAACTGTTAGAAGAAACACCAACACGGAATAGAAGCTGCTTAATTGTTCCGAAAGTGAAAATAGCTTAATCATGCTGTTTCGTCCCATACACACTTTTCAGATTTCCTTTGAAACAGTAATAACAAACTACTCAATATCTTTTTTATATGAGAGGTTGAAAAAACTTCGAGTATGTATGCGTTAAGAGAAGAAAAGGGGGCTCCCGAATATAAATTTTCCACGCAAATATTCACTTTCCCAGAGCAATTGTAAGTGAGAATGCAGCTAGCGCACTCCCGCACGCGGGCGAAAGGCGGAGAATACCACGTAATCTGGGGCGGCGTGATACCAAGGTTTCGGATAGTCGGCACACCCTCGCGGTTCACACCAATATCCTTGGTGAATCTAGACACGTCGTTTTTATTGAGAAAAGTGTACTCACCCCCGCAGGGGCGAGTGGGCTGATCCCGGAGATAGTGCTATACCGGACCAACCCGTGGCGAAGTGGCAGCGAGCTTCCAGCACTGCGCCACATTCCAAAAATAAGTTTATCTCTGACACAAATAGAATCCGTATCACACATTAGGCTAATAGGAACATAGAGTGGTTATTGAAAGAGGCAAAACATAGAGGGAATGGTAGTCTCGGCCTTGCTGGCCCGACCAAAGGCCGCCGGGACCTTCCAGGATCAAAGGACCTGGCCCCAAGGGTTCACTGCCCTACCGGCTGCCTCAGCGTCAGCATTTCCTCACCTAAGGGCTTGGCCAGTCGCCTTGGCGTAGAGCCACGGAGGAGCTGCCTTGGCAGAGGCCGGCAGAGCAGGGCCTGAACAGCACGTCCACCCAGTGTCCGGGAACTGTGAACTTAGTCGGAAATGTCCTCTCAGGTGACCACCCGCCAGCTAAGCAAGCGGCCCTAGAATACATAGGTCAAAACAGCGGTGTAGCAGCGTGAGCCTTTAACCCACCGCGGGGCGTCACTCCCCCGCTGAAGCACCCCGAAGGGAGACTGCCCAGTAAATCCCAAAGGCGTAGACCATTGCGGGCCCAAGAACCCAGACAGCCCTGATGAATAGGCGAGACGTTCAGGTGTGGAACAGGATCGAGCCATAGAACCAGGACCTGACCTCAGGACAGGGGAAGAACAGGTAAATTGCGGTGCAACTGAGCAGTTAGCTCCCGAAGGAGTGCGTCTTGGACGCAGCGCATGTGTGAGAAGAAAGGGGAAAAGAGAAGTGAGTGGAAAAGAAAATGAATAGTGAAAAAGTGGTCCCCCTTAAGGGAGGAGGCATCAAAGCGCGGGCTAAGGGCCAAGCACATGTAATCACGAGGGGTAGGACTACACTTTAATCGTAGCCAAAAGGCCGAGAAGCGATCTTAGTCAAAAGGCCGAGAAGGGACTTTGATCTTTGCCGAAAGGCCGAAAAGTGCTCTATCTACATCATGTTTCTTGTTTCGCTTTCAAATATGTTGAAACTGAAACCCTCTTTGCCCAGACGTCAAAGCCATGCTTCCTTGCTTGCACGCGGACCCTTAATTACGCCCATGACGTCACAATGAATACTTGCCGGCGCTCATAATCAGGCGCGTCACGAGAAATGCTACAGAACTTTCACTTAAAACCTATGCAAGGTTTCCATTTTAATTTCATGCACCAAAGCCTGGAGGAAAAAAATTACCATACCAAATGCGATTACGTCCCCCATCTAAAATTACTTCTACGATGGCTGCCCAAGCAATACCTCTGCAACGATGACCACAATCATTGACGAAAAGGTGCTCCGATTGGCTTCTTGTGAGCACGCAACATATGCCTTGCAAGTTCCGACGTTGCAGAACACCGCACCGGATTGGACGACGGTTTAGCCGTGAAATGCAGACCCGCGAATCTATGCGAAATGTCTACAGTGTGTGTTGTTATGCTGGTCAAAGGAGGGTCATGTGGCACAGCGTAACAATAAAAGTGTGTGAAACGCCACTGCAATGTCGTGCAAGAGTTCCGACTGCAGGTTCTGCCTTTGGTCTGAAATGTCCAGGATTCCGAGGGGTAGGAGTGATTTGGTGGTGTGTACGAGGTGCCAGCTTGGCGCTCAGTATCGAGCCAGGCCAGAGGCGGTAGAAGGCGGTTGTCAAGTGGTCGCGGAAATCAGTGGAGAAGTACTCGCTCGCGAGTTTCGTCGAATGATGTTGTGTAAGCTGCGAGTAACCTCGTGACAGACCGTCTTCGGGAGACAAGTGGTTGCACAAATGAAACCGTGCAGCAACATGTCGCCTTATTCAGGGATTATATTGCCGCACTACGATACCGCTGATCTACTGCTTCGTCACTGCGCTAGATTGTATTGCTTGTTATTATTGACCTTCACTATTGGCTCACACCCACTGTGGGGGATTGAGTGCTTTGTTCTTTGCTTCTTCGCTTTATACATCTTCAGCTTTGAGATGCTGCGAGGAGTAACGAGAGGGTACAGAAGCAAAGCACAACAAAGCGCGCCCGGGATGTTATCTCACACATCTTGGGATACACTGCGCTTCAGGTACGTGCTTCATGTGTCCATATGTATAGTGCACAGTTCACTTGCTACTTCCAGGAACTGGCCAGGAAGTATGCGAGGAAGTTTGTTGTAATTAACGAGAACCAACAACGTATGAGGTGGTATGCTCGAGATGATGTCCAGACATGTAGTGTGTGATCAACAAGGCTATGGTTGAGGGCGCCAGTGAAGTAACTAACCGCACGGCAACGAGTTACAGGTACCGCTGGCGGAAGCTGAGACCCAGGTCGTTGGACACAAGAAGAGCACACGGACGAGCACACGTCGGGGTTTCGCCGCTCCACTGCGCTGCAGGTGCGTGCGGGGTGCGTCTTCTGCTGTTCCTCGCAATTTTCTTTTGTGATGGGGAACAGTGTACATGTGAAGACATCGTAAGAGCACACGCGTTCAGGGTAAGTCTTCTCGTGAAGACATGAAATAAAAATGCCTTCGCTTGTCACTGCAACTTTAAACAGAAACACCAACACGCAATAGATGCGGTTTCATTTTTTTTGTGAAATGCGCAACCTCTAAAAGTGGAAATAGCTAAACAATGCTGTAATGTCAGACACACACACTTTCAGATTTCCTTTGAAATAGTAATAACAAACTACTCACTAAAGTTATAGCTTGGGATGTTGAAAAAAATTAGAGTATGTATGCGTTAACAGAAAAAAACGGGCTCCCAATTATAAAATTACAACGCAAGGATTTAGTTACCCGAAGCAATGGTAGGTGTGAACACAGCTAGCGCACTTCGGCACGCGTGCGAAAGGCGGCGAATACCGCGTCATCTGGGGCGGCGTGACACCAAGGCTTGGGATAGTCGCCGCACCCTCGCGGTTTACCCCAATATCCTTGGTGAATCCGGACACGTCGTTTTTATTGAGAATAGGGGTAAACTTACCCCCGCAGGGGCGAGTGGGCCTATCCCGGAGATAGTGCAATACCGGGCCAACCCATGGCGGTGTTGAAGAGAGCGCCAAGCACTGCTCCGCATTGCAAAAATAAGTTTATTATCTTGGATACAAATAGAATGCGTATGACATATTAAGCTAATAAGAACAGAGAGTGGTTATCAAAAGAGGCAACACATAGAGGGAATGGTAGTCTCGGCCTTGCTGACCCGACTGAAGGCCGCCCGGAGCTCTCGGGACCAAAAGGACCTGACCCCAATGGGTGCAGCGCCCTAGCGGCTGCCCCAGCATCCACCCTCCCTTGCCTAAAGGCTTCGCCAGTCGCCATGGCGTAGAGCCACGGAGGAGCTGCCTTGACAGAGGCCGGAAGAACAGGGGCGGAGGAGCACGTCCACCCGCGGTCCGGGAACCATGAGCTTAGTCGGGAATGTCCTCTTGGTTGACCACCCACCGGATAAGCAAGCGGTCCCTGAACACATAGATCAATACAGTGGTGTAGTGGGGTGAACCTTTAACCCACCGCGGGGCGTCACTCCCCCGCTGCCGCACCCCAAAGTCAGTACCCCCGGGAAATCTCAAAGGCAAAGACCATCGCCGGTCCAAAGACAAAAGACAGCCCTGCTAAATAGGCTAGGTGTTCAAGTGTGGAACAGCATCGAGCCATAGAAGCAGAACCTAACCTCAGGACAGGAGAAGATCAGGTAAATTGCGGTGCAACTGATCAGTTAGCTCCCTAAGGAGCGCGTCTTGGACGCAGCGCAAGTGCCAGAAGGAAGGGGAAAAGAGAAAAGAGTGGAAAACGAAAAGAAGAGTGAAAGAAGTGATCCGTCTTCAAGGGGAGGGGACGTCAAAACCGGGCCCCTGGGCCAAACACATTTATTCATGAGGGGTATGACTACACTTTAATCTTACCCAAAATAACCGAGAAGCGCTCTGTCCGCTTGATGTTTATTGTTTAGCTAAGCACGTTAAATCTGAAACCTTCTTTTCCCAGGCGTCGAAGCCATGCTTTCTTGATTGCACGCGACTCTCGATTACGCCCATGACGTCACAATGAATGCTTGCCAGCGCAAATTTTCAGGCACATCACGAGAGATGCTACAGCACTTCTTTTTAATCATATACAAGGTCTAGATTTCAAACTCGTGCATCAAAGCCCGGAGGGTAAAAATGACTGTACCAAATGTGATTACGTAACGCATCTAACATGACTTCTACGATGGCTGCCAAGCAACGCCTGTGCAAAGACGACCACAATCATCGGCGAAAAGGTGCTGCGGTTGGCTTTTTCAGCACAGGCAATATATGCTTTGCAAGTTCCGACGTGGCGGAACACCGCACTGGAGTGGACGATGGTCCTGCCGGGAAATGCAGATCCGCGAATCCATATGAATTGTCTACGGCATGTGTTGTTATGCTCGTCAAAGGAGGTCATGTGGCACAGCGTAACAATGTGAGTGTGCGAAACGCCACTGCGATGTCGTGAAAGCGTTCCGACTGCAGGCTTTGCCTTTGGTCTGAAATCTCCAGGTTTGCGGATTCCGACGGACAGGAGTGATTTGGTGGCGTGTACGATGTGCCAGCTTGGCACTCCGTCGATCGAGCCAGGCAAGAGGCGGTAGAAGGCGGTCGTGAAGTGGTCGCGGAAATCAGTGGAGAAGTACTCGCCCGCGCTTTTCGTCGAAAGCCGTTGTGTAAGGTGCGAGTAAGCTCGTGACAGACCGTCTTAGGGAGACAAGTGGTTGCACAAACGAAACCGTGCGGCAACGTTTCGCCATATTCACGGATTATATTGCCGCCCTACGATACTGCTGATCCACTGCTTCGTCACTGCGCTTGATTGTATTGCTTGTTATTGTTGTCCTTCACTTGTGGCTCACACCCACTGTGGGGAATTGAGCGCTTTGTTGTTGTGCGTCTTCGCTTTCTACATCTTCGGCTTTCAGAAGCTGCGAGGAGTAATGAGAGTATACAGAAGGAAAGCACAACAAAGCGCGCCCGGGTCGTTATCTTACACGCCCTGGGTTCCACTGCGCTTCAGGTGCATGCGTTATGGGTTCGTATGTATAGTGCAGAGTTCCCTTTCTACTTCAAGCAACTGGCCGTCCCAATGAGGCAGCACGCGACGATGTTCGTTATATATAAAGAGAACCAACAACGGACGAGTTGGTATGCTGGATATGATG